CACCTCAGCCGGGCTGGCAGGGCGGCAAGGCGGGGGAACAGAACCACAGAACTGCACTCGCTGCCCTCCAACGCGGTCTCTCAAGAAGCCAAAATAAAAAACAACAACAAATAGAGCGCTTTACAAGGGGAAATAAAAAAAAAACTCTCTCCTCTACAAATAAAAATCTAGAAGCAAATTATTTCCAAAGGCTCCTAGCAAGAAAAAAAACAAAAAACAATGCCTTTCACACATGACGCCTTGGATGTCGCCCATCCGCCAATGCTTTCTAGCTCCAGAAGCGAGGATGCAAGGGGCGTGTTTTGGCTCAGCGCCAAAAAAAAAGAACCGCAGTTACCGTTTCGAGGCATACTCCAGACGGCGTGGTAGGAAAACCCCCGTCCGCTCTGACAAACGGAAAAGGAGGGTCACGGAGAGAAGTGCACAGCAGGTTCCAATGACGCTGCCGGCCAATATATCGGAAAAGTGATGACGGTTGTCACGTGTCCGCGAAAGAGCGACGGCAAAGGGGAAAACGAGCAGCAGCAGACCCAGCAAAGAGCGCCACAGGGACGCATGGCGAAATGCTTGCAGTTGTCCCAGAGAATACAGCACCAATGTAACAATGGACGCAAACGCGATGCCGCTGTGACCCGAGGGAAATGACACCCTCCCCTCACGTGCAGCCCCACACCAGTCCACGCCCTCGGATTGTTCGCTGTAGCCTTCGCGCTTCAACCGCGCGAGAAAGTCAGGACGCAGACGACCAGAGTATACTTTGGTGGTTTCAACAATGCAAATGCACAAGCATACGGCGAAAGCCTGTGCGAGAACCCAGTGATTAAACGTTTCCCAAAATAGCGGCCAGCGTGCAGCAGCAACAACATCGCGCCCGCCTCTTCCTCCTTCTGTGGCAGAGAGATCGTCACCGTTGAAGCCGCCTGCGCGCAACCACCGCACGGTGGTCCCTCCGCTGTTCATGACGTCCACTGTAACGACGCCTCCTTCGGCGCCAAGGGGGTGGTCTAGAGACGGTGTCGTGCCGGCGCGCCACCGCAGCGCGCGGGCGAATTCCACGGCGGCATAGAGGACAACTGGCAAGATGGCAATGGGGACCAGCGACCAGGAGGGAAATGTTCCGTCTCCGGCGAAAGGGTACGCGAGGGTGGGGTCGTTCCATGAAAAAGGGCGACAATGTGGGCGAACCTTCTTCCCAATGGCGCCGCCAGCGAGACCAAGGATAACACAAAGAAGGTAGTCCACGATCCTCAGCGTAGCGAGCACCTTAGCAAACACCTGAAGCGACGACATTCGTTACGTTTTTGTAGGTGTTATTTGCCTCTCCTGCTTCTGCAGCTATTCCTTTACCTTCGCCCTGACTTCCCACTCACGCCCTTCAGGTTTTTGTCAGTTCCTTACTCGAGTCTTGCGCCCGCCCCACTCATTATACACAAGGCAAGTGAAGAGAATGGGAAGGTGCAATTGCAGGGAAAAACGTGGTGTGCGCAGCGGCGCCTGCTACGCGGCTGCGCACGCCCGCGCCATGCAGACCGACACCTTCGCGGAGAGGCACAAAAACAACACACGCACGCGAGCACTGAAACCCCCATTTTTCTTTTGGTAAAGGGGAGCAAATTCGCCATGTGACAGGAACACAGCACGAGTGAGAGGGCGAAACAGAGGAAAAAAAAAAACACTGATCACACACACAGAAAGAAGAACAAAAAACGAAATCTGAAGTTTGCGCCCTTTCACGGGCACTTCTCACCTCAATCCTCAACAAAATATGCTGCCGCCAAACATGCGAGTCGCCGTGTTATTTTTTTTTTCCTCCAACTTCTTTGTACTTTTACCTGTTGCTCTGCGTGGGTCCATGTGTGGGTGTAACTGCCACCCCCCCCCCAAAAAAAAACCACCCTTCCATTGCCGTGTTCCCTGGAGCACGCCAAATAAAAAAAAAAGGCCCAACTCGAGGAAGAACTCCCATCAGGGGGGCAAAATGTACCCCAGGGACCAAGAGAGCATGCGGAGGTCACCAACTCCAGGGTAACAACGATACGTGCACATAAATATACACCTTGCGCAAATAAACGTGCCAGCCGCATGTCCCTTCCAATTCCTCGGTTGAGACCAGCATCCAAACTTGACGCTTCCTCATACACACACAGACACACACGCACACCAACACAACAGAGAGGAAAACAAGGAGAGGTTCGGAAGGAAAAGTAAACGGGTTAAAAATAAATAAAGACAACAACTTGAAATCACCACTGGAGAATCATTCACGTAAGCAAGCCGCAAAGGCTCAATAACAAATCAAGAAGAGGAGTTAGCAGCAATAACAAAAGTAGTAGCAACAACAGTACTCAATGTTAACTGGGCAGCCCTCACGCGAGCTCCCGATACTCTCAGTTAAGCTGACAGGGGGTCGTCCGAAATGAAAGTAGAAGCTGTTTTTTCCACAATGGCAGTGCCAGTAGGTAACAGCAGTTCAATTTCCTTGGTGTCATGAAAACACGCCTCATCGCTAATGTTACATCTTTCTTCCTCATTTGCAGAAAAAGACGCTCGAAATGTTTTGCAAGGGCAGTTCGCCACTGCTGGAGAGTGATGCAGCTGCAGATAGCTGGGCGTTTTCGGTACCTGTACAATCGGCGGGACAAGCGTCGTGGAAACGTGTGTGGCACTTTCCAGCGTCTCCGTGGAGGGTGACGCTGAGGAAGTGAAAAAAGAAGAAGCTATTGCAGATGAATCGCTCAATCCATACTCGCCCGGATCAAGTGGTGAATCACCCTTACCACAGATAGTCCTCAACGAGCGACCTTGGTCCACGCAGGTAAGAGGTTTGAGAAGAGACATCGTGCAGGGTATCCTTGCCTGAATTTCTGTCGGTCTGCTCCGCTTCGATGCGGTTACGGCGGCCAAATGAAGGACCCGCGCAAAGAGAGGATCTGTGGTGGGAGTTGGGACCTCTGCTTCGGCGCCCTCCCCAGACGCGCCCCGCCCGACATCCGGCAAGTGAAACTTCGTATCGACGCCGTCTGTATCGGTGAACCTCACACAGGCGTCACTACCGCCGCCGCAGTCGTCGCCGTCGTCCTCCAAGGGACAGTTTCCCGGCGAAGACGAAGATCCTGGTGTCCGCATTGCGTCACACCCGCTTCGTCCCACCCCGCCAAGCGAATTGCACTATGCCACAATTGCCACCTCCCTCCCCACACCCACCCACCCACCCCCCACCACACACACCGACTAAGAGATAGAGAGAGTGATAGACGCAACCCGGGCGAGAGAGTGCGTGTATGTGTGAAGCGGCAAAGCAACTGCGTCTCGGTACTCCCCTTTCGCTATTGCCTTGGCTGTAATGGTTTTTCCTTCTCTGGTTCTCCTGTACACTTGTTGGTAAGAGAGGTGTTGCAAAGAACAGAAGGCCGCAGGCATGACTCCATTGATATCGTTTGCAATGGGACAACAGAAGTCTCTCACAGATGCACGTAAATGGGCAAAGTGCAAAACGCCACCAACAGCCAGAAAAGGAATAAATTGGTCATGTGTATGTTAAATGGGAGAAAAGCACAAACAGGAATGACCAAAAAATAATAATAATAACTAAATAATCAAGAATATAATAATAAACCCGTAGTCCCTTTTTGGGACTATTAATAATGATTCGAATCATAAACGGTCTCCCACTCTAGAATTCCTCTGGTGGAAATTCCCCCACAGTCACCTGGTCGGGGCGTAAGAACCCGCCATAGTTCGGCTGGCACTGAAACACGCGCATCCCCTTGGCGCTGCCGTCACCTTTCCCCACAGGCTCATCAAACTCGACACCAACCCAATAGCCTGGCTTCAGCGTTGCAACACGGCCAACAAAGCGGACCGTTCCCAGGCGGTCTCCAGGTTGGCACTGACAACGATCGTCAACGTGGATTGCCTCCGCCGCTTTCTTGTAGCTGTCTGCGTCCAGTTCCTTTGTAGCGGGAACACCAGCCTTTTCCGCCTCCTCACGTTGTCGCGCCATCATGAGCTGGCGAAAAGCTCTGGCATTGTCCTCCCGTTTGCTGTATGCCTCTTCTGATATCTCGTACTTCTCCACCTGGGTGAGATCCTCAAAGTTTGCTATTTGCTGCGCCGGACGAAGGTCCACTACGTGGATGACGAAATCATCCCGGCATTGGTAATAACCTAGCTGCTTGTCATCTGCCATGTTTGACTCCACCTTGACGCCGCGGTCGTCAAGAAGCTGCAACTGCATTTGGTCTGGAGGTGTGGCAAAGTGTGTGGCAATATTGGCCTTAACGCTCGCAATCGTCTGTGCAAGGTCGTATCGCTTCTCGGGGACGCGCATTCCACTCGATGAGTGCGTGAGCGACACCCGCACGACAGTCATGGCGTCTGAGCTTAATCCCTCCTGTCGGCGACAATAGCAACAACCAGCCGGGCTCCTAATGGGTGTGGTCAGGGTAGCCAATACAACTCGAGTCAAAAACAAGAAGGTAGAAAAGACAAGAAAGCACACATGCATATTTACATACATAACATTTAAGAAGCTTTTTTCTCTCGTTGTTGTTGTTTTGTTGCTTGCCTTTTCAACGCTGTTGCTGCTGCGTTATTTTCAATTTGTATTCCCGTTGTTACTGTAGCCTTCGCCCCTGCAGTGGCCGTCGCCGCCTCCCGCAGACCGCCACTGCAGGGGCAAAGTAGAGAAGACAAACGGAATACCTGCTGTACATGACGACCACACGTGAGCAGTGTGAGGGAAAGTGTGCGAAAGCACTGCGGGCGTCTCGCTCTACATTCAGTAACTCTTAGAGTATCTCTTTCTTCTATTCCTTGCCGCGTTTCTTGTTTTCGTTTTCGTTTTCCAGTGCACATTTCTGCTTTTTTTCTTTCCTCCTTCCTTTTGGTTATGGAGGCGGCAGTGCGAAGAGAGAGGAGAGGAATTAAGAAGGAAAGAAGCAATAAACACGGCTTTGTTGACGTTGTTGTCTTTGTTTTTGTTGTTTTTGCTCCATCAGACGCTTTGGAATTCCACTTTGGTCCAGCCCTTCGTCTGTGGCCGCGTGCGAGGACCCCCTCTCCCTCCCTCCCTCCCTCCGTCATTCCCTGTTCAACACCAGTAGCCAATTGTCCCGTCGCTGCAGCCGCTGACGATGAAGCTGTTGGTCGACGGGTCAAACAGGGCACACTGAACGCAGTCTTCGTGCCCGGCAAGCTCTCCCACGCTAGCGCTCGGGACATCAACAATTTTCATGGTGGTGTCGTCGCTGGAGACGACAAGGTACGTGCCGGTGCTGTCGGAAGCTACGTGGTTTGCGGCGTAAGGTCCGCAGGCGACCGTGAGTCGCTGCTCCATGCGACGTATGTCCCAGAGCACAACAACGCCGTCCGCGTCACAGGACGCCAGCGACTCCGTTGCGCCAACTACCGCCACGGACTGAACGACGTTGCGATGCCCATAGAGCGTCTGCGCACAACAATTCATACGGCAATCCCACAAGGAAACGGTCTTGTCGCCACTACCTGTGCAAAGTGTATTGGTGTATGGCTTCCACACCACAGCATTCACGGTGTCCAGGTGTCCCCGTAGTGTTTGACGGCATTTGCCTGTTGTGGCGTCCCAAATGCGGGCCGTTTGGTCAAGCGCCCCACTGGCTAAAAGAAGGCCAGTTTCCTGAAAGTCTAAACACCATACACTGTCACAGTGACCTTTAAGTGTCACCTTACAACTGTTCGTGGCAAAGTCCCACAATTTTACGGTCTTGTCGCCCGAGGCAGTGGCCACCATGGTCCCCGTGGGATGCATAGCTACAGCTGAGATCCAACTCTTGTGTCCGTCACCAGACATCACAAGTTCACCCTGCGGTAACGCAGAGAGCCGCCAGGTACCGTCGTCGCTGGAGCTGGCGACAGCTGGCTTCTCGGGATGCATGGAAACCTTTGTCACCGGCATGGAATGCGCTTTAAAGGTAGATTGACAAACCCATGTCAATGGCTCAGTTAGAGCGGAAAACGTGTTGTCCGCACGCTTAGGCCTTGGTCTTTCATCCGCAGGCCAGCGAAATCCGTCAGACACGCCGTCGGTCGCACGAGCAGCTTGAGTGACAGTTTTCCTTCCTTGTGGCTTTGCATCTGTGGCTTTGGCGGCCTGTCGCTCCTTTCGTTTGGCTGAGACTTCTGTTGATTTGGAACGACTTTCCGCACCCCCTTCTTCATCTGAGTTTAGCCGCCTTTCCATATGTTCCACCTGTTTCTCAAGCCTGGAAACCTTGGCATCCAGCTTGTCCCTCTCTATAGAAAGCAATAATTTTGCTTTGTGCAAAGTCTCACACTTCTGACGAAGCTCGTTCAGCGTTGGGTTAACTTCCTCTGCGTGACTCTGTGCCTGACGAAGAAGCTTCGCAATCCTGTTCTTCTCCTGGACCACGCGGTTGTGGTTGGCCCGATGAAAGTCCCGCTCTTTCTTTGCCTGTAGAAACAGTCTTGTCGTTTTGGCCGTCAACTCGGCGTGTTGACGAAGTTGATGCTCCAAGACATCAATGCGATCCTGCAGTGCCGCGGTCTCAAGGTAGTTGTCCGCGAACACAGGGGCGTCGGAGAGCGGCTTTGACCCGTACTTTTCGTACCACTCAATCTCAAACGCCTCCATGGTGCGGTACATGCCGTTGCGCAAAAAGAAGTTTCGCAAAAAGTCATCCGTGGATTCCGGAATTCGCTTGAGGATGGGGCGCGGCGGAGGGGGCATGCCGCGCTCCTGCTGCAGCTGCACTGTGCGCTGAAAGGTGTCAAAGTCGACGTCCTCCATTTTTGGCAACAGGGTAGCATCCAACTCCATTTCCTTCTGCGTCAGCTCCGCCTCCACGGCGGGATGCCCCGCGGCGGCCCCGGCGGTTGATTTCATGGGACAAGCACACCGACCCCTGCCTTCGCGCTTACCGATGTGCTCGGTGCCTTTGTTGCTGCTTCCTTGCCTCCTTCGCTCTGCGGCTCTGGCGAAGGGGAAGGAGCGGATGGCGGCTGCCTCTTCTCCCTTGTACTTGTTGGTTGGCGGCGCAGAGCCATGCAAATGGCGGTTGTGAGAAAACCAAAGAAGCAGAAAAAAAAAAAAACCATTCAATCCCCGATGCCTCAGAGAAGGCCGGCACAACCAAAAACAACGGCAACCAAGACACCATAACAATAAATACGCAGCAGAATACCCCGCAATGCTCGTCTGCCGAGACTAGTTTCCATCAGGCACGCCTATCCACCAACATGGGAAGGCTCCAGTCGATGGGGGGATGCCCCAGCTGAGCCAGGGCCGCGTTGCACTTCGAAAAGGGCCGAGAACCCCACCATTTCGCCGCGCTAAGCGGGGAGGGATGGGCATTTTCAATAACAAGATGCCGCTTCTGGTCAATCAGTGCAATTTTTTTCCGTGCAAAACCGCCCCAAAGGAGAAACACAAGCGGCCGGCTGTGCTTTTCGGAGAGCAAACGAATAACGCCGTCGGTGAAGAACTGCCAACCACACTTTGCATGCGAGTTCGCCTGGTGTGCCTCTACAGTAAGCGTCGCGTTGAGCATCAACACGCCTTGCTCTGCCCAGCACTGCAGGTAGCCGTGCGGCGGCGGCTTGAATCCAGGTATGTCGGTGGTAAGCTCCTTGTACATGTTCACCAAGCTCGGGGGCGGACGGACACCAGGAAGCACCGAGAAGCACAACCCATGCGCTTGATTAAGGTTGTGGTAAGGATCCTGCCCCAACAGTACCACCTTAAGCCTGTCCAGGGGTGTGCTGTTGAAGGCGGAAAAAATTAACTCGCGTGGAGGGAGAATGATCTTGCCATTTGCGTTCTCCCCCTCTATGAACTGCTCTATGCTACGGAAACTACCGGTAGAGGTGAGGGGTTGCAAAAACTCACGCCAGCCGAGGTCTGTAATAAGGGAGGCGAGGCCGTTGCCGCAACAGACACCGTCGTTGCGCTCCGTCTTCAGTTTGGTGCAAGGCGCGGCCGGCTCTGGCGCCTGTTCCATGCGCCGCTTCCGTGGCGCGGCTGCTACCGCCTCAACTGAAGCCGCTTCCACGTCAATCACCTCTCGCGGCGGGTTTGGGCCCTTTTTACGCACAAAGTCCAGCAGAGTGCGCTGCACCATGTCTGCCGGCACCCAACCCTTGCGCGTTCTACTTTCCGCTTGTTTGTTGCAGCGGCGCACGTCAGAGAAAAACAAAAAATGTTGTTTGGATAGAGGCAAAAGGATGTCAAACTGGACGTGAGGCTTGGCGGGTATGTCATTTCCACCCACGGGCGAGAAAGTGTGCGTGCGTGAGCCATCCCCCGCCCCTCTCGCCCAGACGGCCAGAGAGAAAAACAAAAGAAGGTGAATTTCCCAATGCCTGCTGAGGGGAGCAGGGGAACTGCCGCGAAGACAGGCGACGCCGGCCGACCACTGCAGCTTATCTCAACATCTCACACATCTGCAGAGCAAAGCAGCCAACATCAAGCATATACGCGCCGTTTATCCGCGTGCTTATTCTATTTGAGGTATTTCTGCGGCAAGCAAATAGACCCACACACACACACGGGGAACGAAGAAAAAAAAAAGAAGAATGAAAGAGAGAATGACTAAAAAGCAAAAAAAAGCGAAGAAGGCCCCTAGTTTCAATCATTGATGTGTGGGTAGCGGCAGGAGCGACAAAACAAAGGAAAACAAATCAACCAAAAAAAAAAGAGGATGTGAGGTGAAGTTGCCTCACGAGGAGCCAAGGCTCAGAAACACCTTGCCCTCCTTCTCCTTCCAGTGCTGAACAACATAGCCGTAGGCTGAGAGCAAGGTGGTGACCAACTCGTCGAGGCTCCGCAACGGCTCCCCCTGGTAGTGGACCTCCGCTCCATCCTCGGAGACCACCAAGGCGGGCAGCTGTGGCAGAATCACCACCTCATTCTTGGACTGGCTGTCCACCGACCAATGCACAAAGACAGCCTGCGGCAGGGTGCGGCAGAAAACCGACCGCTGGTACTCAAACCGCCCCAGAATTGCCTCCTCCATCTCCGGTAGCTGGAAGTAGCGTGCATCGCTAAGTAGCAACTCCCACTCGTCAAAGGACTCAGGCAGCAACAAAGCTCCGGTGCGGAGAAAGTTGAGAACGTGGCGAAAGGTTGTCCCGTCACGGTCAATGAGAAAAGAGCCCTCCTCGGTGAGCCTCCCAGTGCCATTGACTATCGGCCCAAATACGGGGTGCTCCGTGAACGACCTAAAAGTGGCGCGGTGCGTCAGAAATATGATGCCCCCAACATTGAGCGATACCTGCTGTGCCCACTCCCCGGTGACGTCAATGCCAAGGTTCCGCTGAATCCAGTTCATCGCCTGCACCGACATACAAAATCAATCCCCACGTAAGTCGTCCAAAGACGTCGCTTCCTAACAACGATACTAATAGAGAAAGCCTCACCCGCAGTGGAGGACCATCCACCATGCGCCCAATGAGGAAGGAAAATGCATGCGTGCAAGAGAAGTAAACGCCAGAGGCTGAACGTTATCACACCCAAGCAACCAATCAAAAAAAAAAAAGAAGTAGAACAACCTTAAAACCGACGGCGACGATGGTGAGATTTTTGCTCGGCCCACACATGTATCAAGGCAGCATATGTCGCAGTGATTTCTTCCTTCTCTACCGGAGGCAGCCGCTGAAGTACTTCGCTCGCCAACGCATCCTTGCCGCTCTGCTCCAGGACCGATATCAAGGTTGCGTACGTAACCACGTCTGGTGTTGGTGGGTGAGAAGTGGCGAGGGCAGTCTCCTCCTCTGCCTCCGTATGCGCAGAGGGGGGAGCCTCCTCCGGTATCGAGCCTGCAGATGCTGCGTCGGCATCACTCTCGTTTGCGGCAACAGCAGCGTCCAGGCTTTGCAGGGGGTTGGGCCCCATAGAACGCACAATAGCTAATGCCCCCTCCCACTCCAGCGTCGCTTCGCAGGCCGTCACGCACGCGTTATATGCTTCAACAGGCCGTTCCTCCGGTGGTATCCGGGTCTGCAGAAAATGAAGCGCGAGCTCCCAGCCGTGGAGCCCTTCGCCCACATGTTCCTTTTTCGTATTCGCCAAGAGCGAAACCGCATCAACCAGCGTTTGGGGTGACTGTTTCCGAAATATCTCCCCGAGTTGCTCAACCAAACCCCATTGCTTTGCGCCCGCGCAGGTGTCGAGGAGCACAGCTAAGTGCGCAACGTTGGCTGTGACGCCCCCACCACCTTCTACTCCCCCATCATCTCCCTCTCCTAGGGTGAGTGAAACCCCATCGTGCCCCTCCGTTTTTTTGATCAGCAGCATTTTAGTGGCCTCCGCAAAGGAAAGCAGGGCGTCTTCCCATGCATGCATGCGCCGCGCAGTGTTAAGGTATGTCAGCAGGTCCTGACTATTTCGAATCAGGTTATGCGACGAATGAATCGAGGGCCGCCCAGCCGTCAGTGTCTCTTCTTCCTTCTCGATGAGGCTAAACAACTTGGCGACGCTTTTGTCCCCAAGCCCCAACGACGTTTCCGGCGCAATGGGTGTGCCCAGTGCCGGGGTGTTCGCAATACGAGTGGCAGCCGGCTTCATATGCTTGCGTGGCAGTCGCATAGAGCGTGCCAGCACCTGTTCCAGGGTGAGCGGTGTCATTTCCTATGCGCACAGTGAGAGGGAGAGGGGGGAAGTTTAACAAGATATACGAATGTCCCGCGCAGTTTTCTTCCAATGAACGGGAGACGACGGAAAGAGGCAGGATCCCTCGCCAGCAAAAGAAGGCGAGAACAAAGAAAAGAATACCCACCCGTCGAAGTGTCGCAGCCACACCCATTAAGAAAAAAAAACACACACACACACACCAAGCAGGTACCTGGAAGATGTTGCGTAGACCACCTAGTCGCCTCCGATGGACAGGTGGCAAATATATGGGGGAATTCCGTGTAAAAGGCACATAATGGGTTCTGGAGACACCTCCAGAGCCTCCTGTATGTATGACGACTGCTCGACGACGATTGGCCCCAAATGAAGCCCGAGCTGCAGAGGACATTGAGCTCCACTCCTACAAGAATTCCGACCAAACTGGAGTTGCGGCTTCATTGCCATACACTTTGTTGGCGGCCGTCGGAGTAAAACAGAGTGGGATCGAGAGAGTGCCTTCATTGCCCTCGTACAAAATCCCTCGACCTCCCTCAGAGAGAGAGGCGCGCCAAGAATGAGGGGAGGAAGATGCAGCCGGTTAGATGCCACCCAAGGCCGCATTGGAGTCCATTCGGTAGTTCCGTGAAGCGGCACCCGTTGAAGGGAGGTACCCAAAGCTTCCTGCGTTGTGCCGGGCAGCTTACACCGCATAGTCCCTTGACAAAATACAGTCCAAAAAAGAGGCCCTCATCACTGGCTCTACTCCCTATCGCCTTCAACATCATAGAAACACCCACGTCGGCGATCGCGCCGCCGCGCCGCACATAAGAAACAACCAGAAGATTCGTCTCTGCCCCCCCCCCCCCAAGCCTTCTGTACAATGCGTGACGTCTCGCTTGACAAGGCATAGCGTGAATCGTTTGCAGCCCCCCGACACTGCCAACAGCACACTCCAGTAAAACATCCCCCAAGAAAGGCAACATCACCCAACCAGGCAATGGGCTGTTACGCGGTTGTGGTGCCCTACGCGCCAAAGAGTCATTTCGCCACTCGTGCGACCAAAGAAGACATGAACCCCGGTGGCTGCAAAGCTGCAACAAAAAGATTGGGCGGGACACTGAATGAAACAGACGAGGTCAGCATCCAAGCAAAGTCCGACGTCTCTCATAACATCGTGGCACAGAAATCCAGGCGAATGAAATGGCCGAGTTTTTTTTTCTTTTCCTTTTTTGTTTGTAACGCATTTGCTTTTTCCTCACAGCATCTTCTTTGCCCAATACCACCCCGAGCTGACCTGATCTGAGCTACGGGCGTAGCCAAGAAGACTAATAATAGAAAAAAAAAAGGTAACGGCAGTACGACGTGGACCACAAAAACACCGCGAGGGATAAAGAAGAATAAAAAAAAGGGGGGGAACTCCCTACTTTATCTGCCTTTCTGAGTAAGTGAGAAACAAAATAAGATCATTTTGGTTTTTGGCTTCCTCTTCCTCCCCCCAGCACAACCCCCACGCCCAAGCGTGGTGCCAGTGACAGTTTCACCTGCTACTCCCGAATTTTATTTTTACCTGTTTTATTTCTGTGCCATGGCTCACGGGTTGGCGTGCTGGCGAATGCCCTTATTTCTCTCTCTGTATCCCTCTTTTT